CCCAGCCCTAGGCAAACATTAATCTACTTTCTGTCTCTATAGATCTGCCTACTGATATATATGGAATCACACAATATGTGGTCTATTGTAACTGGTTTCTTTCACTTAGTGTAATGTTTTCAAGGTGCATACATGTTGTAGCATAATTAGTACATTTCTTTTTATTACCAAATAATATTCTATTGTATGGATATACCACATTTTTATCCATTCATCAGTTGATGGACATTTGGATTGTTTCTACTTTTTGGCTATTATAAATAATGATGCTATGAACATTTGTGTAAAAGTTTTTATGTGGATGTATGCTTTCATTTCTCCTGGATATATACTTGGGAATGAAAATGCATTTCTAGCTCCTTTGCGATTCCATATGGATTTTAGGTTCAATTTACCAATTTCTACCAAAAAAAACAAAACAAAAAGGCCTGCTAGGATTTTGAGTAAGATGGCATTAAAGCTATAAGTCAGTCTGGGGAGAATCAACATCTTAATAATACTAACTCTATTGATCCAAGAACACCGTGCTATTGAACTTCAGCTGTATCAGCTTGATTAATCATTCCTAGCATGAATTTGAAAGGATTTTCTATGTAAATGATCATGTTGCCTGCAGATAAAGACCACTTTTCTTCTTTTTCAATCTGTTGTTGTTAGGTGCTGTTAAGTCGTTTCCGAGACTCATAATGACCCTATGTACAAAAGAAACACTGCCCACTCCTGTGCCATCCCCACAATCGTTGATATGCTGTTGTTGGCAGCCACTGTGTCAATCCGTCTCATTGAGGGTCTTCTGCTTTTTCACTGACCCTCTACCTTACCAAGCATGATATCCTTCTCCAGGGACTGGTCCCTCCTAATAACATGTCCAAAGTATGTGAGATGTAGTCTCACCATCCTTGCTTCTAAGAGCATTTTGGCTGTACTTCTTCCAAGATAGACTTGTTTGTTTCTCAGGCAGTCCACGATATATTCTATATTCTTCGCCAATTGAGATGTCTTTTGTTTTTTACTTACCTGGTTGAATTGGTTAAGACCTCCAATACAATGTGAATAGAAGTTGTGAGAGCAGACATTCTTGCCCTGTTGCTGATCTTAGGGGAGAAAGCATTTAGTCTCTCATAAAGTATGATGTTATCTGGTGTTTTTGTAGATGCCCTTTATCAGATTGAGAAATGTCCTTTCCATTCCTAGTTTGCTGTTTTTAGCAATAAAAGATGTTGGATTTAGTCCAATGCTTTTTCTGCATCTACTGATATATATTTCATTTTAGTCTGTTAATATAGTTTTCAAATGTTAAATCAACCTTGCATTGCTTAGATAACCTTCACTTGGTTATGATGTATTATCACTTTATCCTTTATATTATACTTCAGTTTGCTAAAATTATGTTAAGAATTGTTGCATCTATGTTTATGAGGAATACTGGTCTGTAGTGTAATGTTTTTGGTTGGTTTCGGGTAAAGCTGGCTTCATAGAATAAATTGGGAATATTCCTTCCTCTTCAATTTTCAGAAGGAGTTTGTGTACAATATTATTTTTCAAATGTTTGATAGTATTCATTTGTGATGTAATCTGAAACTTGAGTTTTCTTTGTGGAAAGTTTTTAAACTACAAATTCAATATCTTTAATAAATATAGAGCTATTCAGAGTATCTGTTCCTTCTTGAATTAAATTTGATAGTTTGTGTCTTTCAAAGAATTTGTCCATTTTTTCCAGCAGTCCAATTTATTGCAATAAAGTTGATTCTGACTTATGTCAACTACATGTGTGTCAGAGTAGATCTGTGCTCCACTGGGTTTTCAAGGGCTGATTTTTCAGAAGTCGATTGCTATGCCTTTCTTTCGAGGCACCTCTGAGTGGATTTGAACCATCAACCTTTTGGTTAGCAGCTGAGTGTGTTAACTGTTTGCACCACTCAGGGACTCAAAGTTATTGATAATATCTCTATATTATGCTTTTAATATTTGTAGAATTTGTAGTGATTTCACCTCTCTCATTTCTGATGTTGGTAATTTTTATCTTCCCTCTTTTTTGTTTTTTTCCTGTCAGTTTGTCTGGAAGTTTATCATTTATATTGCTCTTTACAAAGAACTAGTTTCTGGTTTCATTGATTTTCTTGTTTTCTGGTTCTAATTCATTGATTTCTGCTCTGGTATTTATTATTTCCTTTTTTTTTTTTTTTCACTTAGAGTTTGCTCTTCTTTTTCTAGTTTCTTAAAAGTAGAAGCTGAGGTCATTGATTTATTTCTTCTTATCTCATGTAAGCATTTGGTGCTATGAATTTCCCTCTAAATATTGCCTTAGTGAAATTCCACAAATTTTAAGTGTTTTCATTTCCATTCAGTTCAAACAATTTCTGAGCACTCTTTGATTTCTTTGACAAATGGGTTGTTTAGAAGTGTGTTATTTAGTTTCCAAACAGTTGGGGATTTTCCAGGCATCATTCGGTTAACTGATTTCTAATTTAATTCCATTCGGGTCAGAGGACATACTTTGCATCTTTATTTTTGTTTTATAGCCCAGAATATGGTCTATCTTGGTAAATATTACATTTGCACTTAAGAAGAACTTGTATTCTGTTGTTTGGTAGTGTGTTCTATAAGTATCGTTTAGGTCAAGTTTGTCGATAGTGTTATTCAAATGTGCTATATCCTTGCTGATTTTTTTTCTACTTGTTCCATCAGTGATTGACAGAGAAGTATTAAAATCTCCAACTATAATTGTTGATTTGTCTATTTTTCCTCACAGTTCTATCAGTTTTTACTTCATGTATTTTAAAGCTTTGTTATTAGGAACATAAACACTTAGGAGTATTATGTCCTCTTGAATAACTGACCCCTGTATTATTATGAAATGGCCTTCTTTATCCCTAGTCATATTCTTTGCTTTGAAATCAACTTTGTAATATTAATATCGCCACTCCAGCCTTATTTTGAATAGTGCTAACATGACATATTCTTTTCCATTCTTTGCTTAAAAAAATAAATATTTTATTTTAGAATAGTTTGATTTACAGAAACGTTGCAAAGACAGTACAGAGAACTTCTGCATACCTCCCACTCAGTTTCACCTATTGTTAACATCTTACATTACTGTGGTACTTTTGTCACAGCTAAGAAAACAACATCGGTACAATACTGGTAATTAAACTCCAACTTATTTGGATTTCATTAGTTTTTCCTTAATGTCCTTTCCTATTCCAGGATCCCATCAAGGATACATTATTCAGTCATCACGCTAAATGGCTGTGATAGTTTCTCATATGTGCCTTGATTTTGGTGTCTTAAAAATTTTGAGGAGTGCTAGTCAGGCATTTTGTAGAATGCACCTCACTTTGCGTTTGTGTGATATTTTTTCATTAGAATGGGTTATTGGCTTTTGGGAGGATGACAGACCAAGTATCATTCTATTGCATCATATAAAAAAATACATGTGGTTAAGACCTTGGCTACTAACCAAAATGTCGGCAGTTCAAATCCACCAGCTGCTCTTTGGAAATCCCATGGGGCAGTTCTACTCTGTCCTATAGGGTCACTATGAATCAGAATCAACTCGACGGTAATGGGTTTGGGTTTTTTTGGTATACTCTTTAGTAGCTAGGCAATAAGCACAGTTCACACTCTGAGGCTTTTTTTTCCTTTTCCATTAATTTAAACCTATTTGTGTCTTTCTAAAGTGTTTCCTGTCAGCAGCATATAGTTGGGTCTTGCTTTTTTATCCAACATGACAGTATCTGTCTTTTAACATGATTATTGATACAATTGTTTAAATCTATCATGTTGCTATTTGTCTTCTATTTGTCACATACATCTGTTTTTCCATTTTCCTTTTTTTTGTGCCTTCTTTTAGATTAACTGAATATTTCTTGTGATTGTATTTTATCTCCTTTGTTGGCTTATTAGCTGTAACTTTTTGTTATTTTAGTGGCTGATTTAGCCTTCATAGCTTACATTTTTATCCTATCACAGCTTATCTTCAAGGGTGATTATGTAAAGTAGGCTGTTGGAAATGAATCTGGACAATAAAAGGTTTATTTTGGAATCCTCTTACCAAAGACAACATTTCTTATTTGTTCCAAATACACACAAAACAATATATCTGCAAATAACCTTCACATTAGAAAACTCTGAATTCCTGGTTTGTGACAGATTTTAAGTACCAGGGGGTTCTTGGATTGAATATCAAATTGGGCAAGAAGGTCTAGTTAAATTATCTTACTTATTGGTAAGTAGATAATTCAGACTACATTTAGGTGAAATTTCCATCTAGATTGTAACACATTTACCTTGAGAAGATTGTATCCAAACCCTGCGAATATATTAGTAGTACATACATACTAAGCTTCAATTTATATAGCATTCTTTTAAAAATGAGAATATCAAAATTGCTGCAATAAACAAATCAATAGTGACAGAAAGCACAACAGTGGTTGTCTGATGGCATAAATGAAAGGAGGGATTGATTGCAAAGGGGTATGAAAAAACTCAGAAGTGATGGAAATCTTCTGTGTCTTGACTGTGGTGGTGGTTTCACAGGCGTGTGTGTGTGCATCCAGTTGTACATGTGAAACAGCTGTAGTTCATTATACGCAAATTATACCTCAATAAAGTTAATTTAAATAGCTGTGGCAATGGGAAATATATATATGTAAACCTGAAATTGTATTAATTATAGATTTTGGATCTAAATAGTTAATGGCATATTTTTCTAAATTAATTTTTTTTCAATTATTTTGAGTATTTGAAAATTAAGTGCATCACTTAACTATAAATGACAATCTTAATGTATGCACATACCTTTTTACAGAGTTTCAGGTTGTTTCTAATTTCTTGCTGTTACAATGCTGCAGTTGTTGTTAGGTCCCATCAAGTCGGTTCTGACTCATAGCAATCCAATGTACAACAGAATGAAACACTGCCCGGCCCTGAGCCATCCTCACAATCATTGTTATGCTTAAGCCCATTGTTGCAGCCACTGTGTCAATCCATCTCGTTGAAGGTCTTCCTGTTTTTCGCTGACCCTCTACATCCTTATGCATTTCTCCTTGCCAATGTCTCTCTATGACATAAGCACCCGAATAGGTTTTACATCAGTGTGCTGTAAACAGGTTACCAATTGCCTAGAAATTGAGTCCCTTGGCCTTTGGGGTGGCCAAGGTCACTTCTGGCCAAGAGCAGCCTATTCTTTTACACCAATGTGTCGTACAGTTATAATTTCCTGTGTACCATGAAGGGAAGCGGGGAAAAAAGAAATCTATGATATTGCTAGGACATAGTGTCGGTACATATGATAGATTTCAAAAATGGTCCCAGTGCTTCACTCTCCCTGTATCCATGTCCTTTGCCATGTAACTTTGCAGGGTCCTCCCACTCTGCCTCTGGGACCATCCATCTGACTTGCTTTGGCCAATATACTAGAAAATGTGACAGCAGAAGCTTGAAAATCATTTGTGCTACAATTGAACTTGCCCTCTACCATTCTGACCATCATAAACACATGCCTGGGCTAGTCAGGTGGAGGAATATACTTAGAATAGTCTCAGAATGATGTGCTTGACAATGGCTCCAACGTAAGTGACCTCTCTTGGAACACAGCTTGCCTGCATCTAAACCTAAGATGCTTGTTCAAAGGAAAGTCAAAGGGTTAGCTCCTCTTATTTCCTTCCCAAGACAGAAACTGTAGTACCTAGGTGATAGCCAATCTTAACTTCCTTATTTCATTTGAGGCACTAAGGAGTATTTCCCTCTTATTTTTTTTTAATAGAGAATTTAAACAGCAGAAAACATTTTATGAACAAAGGGAGACTTTTCACAGGAGTATCTATTTTGAAAAACGGCATACAAATCTTGGTTTAACTTGCAGAAGTGTCACAATTACTAACTCCATCTTTCTCTCATGAGAAAGGAACAAAATATTACTTACATAATCAATGTCAAGGGGGTTTCCAGGCCTTTTATAAAAAGGGATTGACCAAAGCCTTCTCATAGAGAGTAATTTATGGTATTTCCATACTCTGGCCAAGATTTAATATCATAAAACTTTAAAATGTTTACCAATACCCGATTACCTGCGAGATTGAACGTCTTTTCAAAGGTTTACTGACCATCTGTATTTCCTTATCTATGAATTGACTGTTCATATCTCTTACCCATTTTTCTATTGTGTGTGTGTGTGTTTTAATTAAATCATAGGGGTTCTTTTTATATTACGGATTTTAAATCTCATCTATTATGTATGTAACAAATATTTTCTTCCAGTCTGTTGCTTATCTTCTAGCGCTGCTAATGGAACCAGGTTACAAAGATTATTTTTCATTTTGATATGGTCAAATTTATCAGTCTTTTTCCTTATATTTTTGTTTTTTCGGTTTGAAGAAGCCTTTTCAACCTTGAGATTAGAAAACATTTTCTTCTAATAAATAAATCTAAAATATATGTATTTCATACTTTTAATTAGTGCTTCATAATATATCTTAATGTGGGTGGGTACCTCTGACTTGAGCTGTTTTTGCACATTTATTCTTTTATGCTAATCTCAGAAAGGCGCATTTCTCTCTGGTATATTTCCTCTAAAACCAAACCAAACCTGCTGCCATCGAGTCAATTCCAACTCAGAGCAACCCTACAGGACAGAGTAGAATTGCCCCATAGGGTTTCCAAAGCTGTAAATCTTTACAGAAGCAGACTACCACATCTTTCTCCTGCAGAGCAAGTGATGGGTCTGAACCGCGGACCTCTGGGATAGCAGCCGCCAAGCACTCACCACTGCACCACTAGGGTTCCTTATAATTATAATTACTTTAAACCCCATTAGGCCTAATTTTTACTGGCTCAACTACTAGTACATGCTAAGTAAGACATGATTAGTACTAAGAAGTAATTAAAATATTCTCCCAGTTATCACAAATGACTAGTACAATACTAGTTTTATTATATTACTTGCCATACATAAACTTACCATTTGTTCTTTTCCTATCTCTGTAGATAATCACAAACAAAGCATTAGAAATCCCTGCACAATGATGGTTTAACCTGTAAGGTAATTTCCCTTCTATGTGGAAATGTGAGTTGTTTATTACTTCAGAACATTATTTAATATTGTTTACCATTCTTAGTTTCTTGAAATGCTTTTATCCTCTTTATGATCCTTCTAATTGGCAACCCTTCTGCTTGCATATTGCATATAGTTTTCTCCAAGGTTCCATTCTTGATCAAACTTCTTTTTAGCAATGGAACCACTGATTCCACCTACCCTCTTTCTATTTCCCAAAGGGAAAATTTACCTGAAAATCAGTAGAATGTACTCTTGTTTCTTATCCATTGCATAATCCTTAGCACTGAAAACATTATATTATGGTATACAACTGATGCATAATAAACATGTTGAAAGAATACTGATAAATTAATTTTAATACGTAGAACATATAACACTTTATTACTATCATAAATATTTTATAAATTCCCATTTATAATTCATGACAAAAATCAACAAAAATACAAGTTACTACACTCATAGCACTTTTAGGACTATACTAAATGTGTGCCTATTATTTAAAAATAGTTTAGAACGTTGTTTAAGCTGAATTAAATGTCTGTGAAATTCTTGAAGCATAACAAGAAAGCACAGCTGAAAATGATTACTCAAGACTCATTACTTTCTTAGCATATGTCAATATGAAACAACATTGAAGACTAATTTTCCTGACAGTTTTCAGTTCAACATTAATCATATTAAGAGTCACCATACATAGAGGAAAGAAAATTGATACTGTCTGAAAATGTGCACATATACATAGTGATACAGTTAATTAAGCACCACGTAAGTCTGCGTTTTTCTTATATTCCCTAAGGGGGTATTTATGATCTTTGGGAAAACTTTTAAAGAAAATTTAAATCTACTTTTACACAAAAAAGATTTTTACTAGTTGACTGTATGAATGGTCTTTTGTTTCATGATGTTTCTTTTACAATGACACTAAAAAGTTCTGCAGATGTCAATTTTTTGGTTCAACCAAATATCTGTTTTTCTATGTTTGTGACCTCATGAAGCTCAATATTTAGTCTATCTCCTTCCTAGTAATAATGGAGTACTTCCTATTGTCACCATCAGAATTCAGGATCATCCTTCCCAACTTTTTATCTAGCATCCTAGTTACTTCTCTCTAGGAAACTGCACTCTGACAAAGGGTTCAGAACATGTATGTAACTCCCATCCTTTTTGTCTTCTTCTGTCTCTCAAACTTATTTTTCCTTCTTCTCCTAAACTTAATTCAGTCAAATACTTGCCCTGAGAGGTGAGAGAGATATGCTAGGAATAAAGATTCTCTACCCTAAAATCTCTTTTCTATATTTTCTGCCTCTTGAAGTAAGGTCTTAACTATCCTATTCAAATACAAAATCCAACTTGAGGTTTATATTGACTAAAAATGATATAAAAAGTTAAATGTTTTCCAGGTAAATGCAAACCAAAAGAAATCTGGGGAGGCAATATAAGTATGAGAAGCTAACATTCATGGCAAAAAATACTTAATTATTTACTTAATTTACAGGATTATTTTGTTCACACTGCAAAGACAAACCGTAATCCCTTTGTGTGGTAGACTGCTACACTAATGTTCCTCAGTGAATCAGACCTCCTATTAACGCAGTCCCCTCCCTCAATGACTCTAAGCTTGGCCACGTGACTGCTTTATCCAAGGGGACATTAGCAAATATGGTGGAAACAGAGGCTTGTACGGCTCTTGCCCATTAGGGCTTGCCCTCTTGGAATGTTTCCTCTATTATGGTAAGAAGCCCAGTCTAGCCTACTGGAGGATGTGAGGTCATATAGAGCAGAGACAAGCTGTCATTTAACCCAGAACTGTCCAGCCAATCCATTAAATTGTGAGAAATAATAAAATGCCATGGTTTTAAACCTCTGAGTTTTGGGGTGATTTGTTACACAGCAATGAACAGCTACACTTTATGAAATCTTAGTATCTCTCTCTCTCTCTCCCCCTCTCTCTTTGGCAGAGCAAATGGATAAAAATTAAGTAAAGCAATAGTTAATCTGAGAAAGAATTAAGGCCTCTCAGCAAACTTTAAGGCTACTAGACCTGCTGTACATCTCTTGTATTCTCCCCTCTACCTCAGCCATTCAATCCATTTAAATAAGTATTTATACGACTTTTTAAAACATGTAACAGTAAAGATACTGATGCACCATATCAAAAAAAATTATTTCATAAGCAAAATAAAGAGAACAAAGTTACAATGATTAATAGGTACAGTATTTTTTTTCCTTGACTTGGAATATTCAAATCTTTTAATTAATCTTTATTTTAACTGTAATCCTATACATTCTATGGGTACAGAATGTAGCCCTATATTAACACAGAAAGTGTAAATAATATCTTTATTTTTTAAACAGTGAATTATATGTCTTTCATATAAAAGACAATACTTTAGCTTCTTTAATAAAAAATAATTGCACTTGTTAATATTATCTTTACATTTTTACAGAAGCAAATTTTTCTCTAATTCTGTATCTTCATTCCACAGCCTAGTACACTTTTACAGAATCATAATCCCTTGAACAGATTTCCAATGTACTTTAAAAAATAAAAAAATTATACAGGTACTGTAATACATCAAAACTTAACAGGTTACAGTATAATTGCCCAGCCTTCTAGATACCACTGAATAGTTTTTCAGTACAGAAAAGCTAACATGTTGGTATAATTAATTCTCTGTATTTATCTTTATTAAAAAGAGGTTTTTGGCAGTGAGAACAAATAATCTCTCGTTTGTTGCCTGAAAGCCTAAAATAGCATCGTTGGTTTCTAGGCTTGCTACTTGCTGCTTAGCAACCTGCCCTACTTGCCTGCCTTCCTTTCTGTTGTAAAGCACAGTGGACATGGGAGTGGGCTGACGATAGATGAATACTCGACGAAGGCACTCACAAAGAGCTGCATAGGAGTAATTTGGAGCACAGGCAAAAAACTTTTTGTCTCTCTTTGACGCTTGGACGTAGCCTACCAAGAAATACAAGACAAAAGAAAAAAAAATATATGTATTAAACAGAAGGAGAAAAATACTAAATTAACATATCCTAATTTTTATTACAAATTAAAATGCATGATTCAAATAAATGCCATAAATACACAATGGTTGAGTTCTGAACTATTAATGATTAGCCACAATCAATCTCTCCCAACTGGTGTAAAAAAATGCAACTGCAATTCCTAAAGAACAAAATAGAGAGGGCTTCAATTGCCCAAGAAAGGCACAATATAGCTCCATTTAATTTCTATGAATACTTATAACACTAAAAATTTTATGTGAAAACACTAAGAACATGCCAAAATATCTTTAAATGTCAATTTAATATTTAGGTTCATAAATCACAGATACATTATATAATCTTTTTTCCTTTCTCCTATCAGATAAATGGGAAAATGTTTATAGAATACCATCATAAAGTTATTTCAGGAGTGTGCTCATAATCCAGGCCCCACCCTCTTGAAGGTACCCATATTCACAATGCATTCTCTTATTATTCCTATAAAGTTAGTGGTATTTTTATACATCAATATCAACAATGCAACAGGATTTTGTTGTATGCCCCCAAAAGTAGAATCCTGAATCTACAAGCGCAAAAGAAAATTCAAGTATCTAATTTTAAAAACTGAATTAGAACATCCCTTGAAAACTAATTAAACTTTGAAAAGTATTCTAATCTTATCTTTTTATTCATGTACATGTTTTAAAGTATCTTTACAGATAAGAGGAGGTTTATCTTCTGAAATAGAAATCAGGATTTTCAAACTGGGACATGGTTACTGAAGGTTATAACATGTGAGATAGAAAATATATATATACATATAAAACAACATAAATTGAGATCTCACCAAATGAACAAGCAAAGAAACCATAGCCCAGGCAGATCAATACTGGTGTTTTAATATTAAACAAGGTTTGAGGAGGGAAAAGTGAACAGGATGTAGATAGATATTTGAGTAGCTTAGGATTAGTTCTCCAGGATACTCTTGACAAAATTAATAATGTATATAATATCTTAAGATTACATATCTAATGTAATGCTGACTTAATTTAACCTCAAATATAGTAAACTCCTCTATAATGGAGAACTGGGAGATACAAATGGAGGATCTGCGTATATAAAAATTATATGGTATGGCTTTCCTCTTACTAAAGAAAGAGGAAATAGGATTAAAAAAATAGTCAAAAGGCTAGAAATTATGTGGTTAAATTCTTCACTCAAATTTTGTACTTCAGGTCCTAAAAATCCATTTGGATTCTGAATTAACCAGTTTAACAACTTATATTATTCAACTATAAGGGATAATTGACAAAGCTCCTCTTCAGTTGGGGTTGTGCATATATAGCGATTAAAATGCATAATTTTACTTCCTGCTGTTGGTGTAAAATAACCTTTGAGGAATGCAATCACTGTAGCTAATTCATGTAAAAAAATTCTCCCACACAATACTAGTGTATTTTGACATAAAATCAATTATTGTATAAGTCTATAATTATGTAGTTTAAACATTTTCAAGCCCTAATTTTAACACTGGTATTCTCTCTTATATCTTAGAGGATAAATTTAATTTCTGCTTATCACCACTTTCCATTAAGTGTTTTCATGATAATAGCTCTCCACACTAACGTTCCATGAAAGATGTTTCCTAACGTGCATTACCTTAGAGCAATTCTATGTTTTTGAAGATTACTCTGAAAAAACCTGAATACAAGTTCCACGTAGGGTATTGTCAAATCCCTTGTTCATATTGTAACACTATATAGCTAAATTACCAGGAGCCCTGGTGGTGCAGTAGTTAATTGCTCAGCTGCTAAGTGAAAGACTGGTGGTTTGAACCCACCAGCCCCTCCAAGGGGGAAAGATGTGGCAGTCCGCTCCCATATAGATTACAGCCTTGGAAATCCTATGGGGCAGTTCTACTCTGTCCTATAGGGTTGCTATGAGTCAGAATCGACTCAAGGGCAATGGGTTTGGTTTTAGGTTTTTTATAGCTAAATTAGAATAAGCAAATGGGTGATTACAATGAGTCACATAGTTAGATACACACTTTGATTTCTGAGTTGATCGTCTCTACAAGTACTAACAGATTAGTCCAATTATTTCAACAGCATTTAACACTCATGTACTACAGTACTAGCAACCAAATTATAGCACAAATCAATCTAAATGAAATTAGGACAGCTCAAATTAAAAAAAAAATGAACTTTAAAAAAAATGGTGACTGTAATTTTTGATATAATAAAAAATGCTGTCAGAGCTTGTTTTGTACCTAAAGCATTGAAAGTTGCAATGTGCTCCCACATGTCGTCTTGTTTGCTAGAGTGTGGTTGCCAGAGAAGGGCATCAACATCATGGCGCAAAGAGAAGCAGGGCATTTCTTTAGGATCCACTATGACGGAGAAAAGGTACTCATTACTTCCAAGATTCACCTAAAAAGTAAAAAATAAAAAATGAATAACTTACTCAACAATGAATTAATAATAACAACTGACATATGGTACTACGTTTCAGCCACTTTTCTAAATTTTTATATACCTATACCTCATCTGATTAACACCCCTAGGAGGAATATCCTATTGTTATGTTCACTTTACAGATGAGGAAAGTGATGCACAAAGCATTTAAGTAACTTACCCGATTTAGCCTGTTAATAAATGTTAATAAATGGTTAATAAATGTTAGTAAGTGGTGGCTGCCGTCAAGTTGATTCTGACTCACAGCGACCCTACAGGACAGAGTAGAACTCCCCCACAGGGTTTCCAAGGAGCAGCTGGTGGATTGGAACTGTTGACCTTTTGGTTAGCAGCTGTAGCTAACCACTATGCCACCAGGGTTCCGTTACATATGCCAAGTATGTTATAAATATTAATCTTCTCAACACCCTATGAAGTTGTTATTATCTTTATTTAATAGATGAACAAGCAGATTTGGAGAGCCTGAGTAACTTGTTCTAGGCTATACAGCTAGAAAAATCAGAGTGCTGAGATTCAAACCTATATCTGTTTACCAGTTATGTGTCACACTGGTATATTGTTTAAATTATCCATGTCAGTAATGATTATGTCAATAACTGTTACTGCAATATTGATAGCTAAAGGAATTCATTTTAATATAAAATCACTAAATTGAGACTCATAACTGGATTCCATCTATTGTAATACCCCTTTTAATGAAGGCAGGCTGCAGTGATATTGTTTATTAGAAATATTATCCGAGCTAAAAATGTCCAACTGACTAAATGTCAACATAAATCCATCCATGTTTATAGAAAACAAAATGTGTACAGTACTTGACAAATATTGAATGGTTCCAAGAGTTTTACAACAGAGTGGAAAATCATAAAATGTTTGGCTAAAATAAGAGGTGAGGACCTGACCTATATTCAACAGGGAAAGCTGTGAAGTGGCTCTCTCCAGCATAAGAATTTATTGGTACAGATGTGCCAGCACTGGCTACTGGTCACAGGAAAAGTCAGTGACAGAAGAACCTAGTTTCTACTACCCCAACAATACCTGGGAATGGGGCTTCTAGGCACACAGAGATCACCAACTATTTCTTTTCTTCCCTTTCCCCTGATTATCACTGGCTACACAAGGTTTAGTTTCAGAATCATAACTAGCCAGTTGGCCTTTTATTATAAGTTTGATGGGCTCAAAACTGCTTCAGCCTTCTTCCTTGTATCCCTAACCTAATATTCTCATTTGCTTACCAAGGGCTTTAACCAAAAAAAAACCTGAAATACAAAAACTAGTTGAAATAATATGTACATAAAAATTCATTTATTCATTAATTCTCAAAAGCCATGTGTCTTCTAAAGTATTAATAATGAAATTGACTGATCTCTGATCCCCCCATACCTTGAATGGACAGCGATGTGACAAGAACAAGAGGATCCTGTACCAAGAGAAAGGTTAACTACCAAGGGACATCAGTCATTAAAATAAGAGGATGGAATAAAAGTCTCTGACTATGAATCACTTACTCCAACTTAGATGTTCCTTCTCTTTCCACTGTACATTCACACCCATTACTGTGATTATGTCAAAGTACTATTAACTACAAAAACAGCAATATCACATGGTTTGCCTTTGCTATACCGTCAACATGACATTCTTTCTGCCTGAACTCCTCATGTCCTTTTTTGCTTGATTTATTCCTATTCATCCTCCAAGACCCAGTTCAACCATCAGCTGCTCCAGAAGAATCCCCTACTTTCATAGTTACATGAGATGTCCGAACTCTGAGAACCCCCAGCACCGTGTATATTACCCCTACTAAATTATCTGTCATACTATATTAGGATTATTAATATACACATAAACCACCTACAGCAGGCTGAATAAAGACCTTTAAAGATGTCTATGTCCTTATCCCCTGGAACCCCTGAATATGTTAGCTTAAATGGCAAAAAGGGCTTTGTAGATACGATTAAATTAAGGATCTTGAAATGGGAAGATTATCCTAGATTATCTAGGTAGGCCTAATGTAATCACAGAGCCTTTATAAGAGGGAGACAGATGGGCCACAGACGAAGAAGATGATGTGACAATGAAAGCAGAAGGACAGAGAGACAGACTGGAAGATGCTACACTGTTCGCATTGAAGATGGAGGATGAGGCCACAGTCAAGGAATGTGAGTGGTCTCTAGAAACTAGAAAAGACAAGGAAATGGATTCTCCCCTACAGTCTCCAGAAGGAACACGAAACTCACAACTTAATTTTAGGACTTCTAACCTCCAGAAGGAAACCCTGGTGGCGTAGTGGTTAAGAGCTCAGCTGCTAACCAAAAGGTCTGCAGTCCGAATCCACCAGGCGCTCCTTGGAAACCCTACAGGGCAGTTCTACTCTGTCCTACAGGGTTGCTATGAGTTGGAACTGACTCGACAGCAACGAGTTTGGTTTTTTGGTAACCTCCAGAAATGTAAGAGGATAAATTTGTGTTGTTTTAAGCCACTAAGTTTGTGGTAAATGTGTTGCAGTAGTAGAAAACTAATCCACCACCTATTTCACAAGACTAAATATCTGCTCCTTCTAAAGGGTCAGATATCAGAGGATTTTGTCCGAAAGAAAAGGAAATCAAAATTAAGATAACCAAAAATATTAGAATTTAGTTATAAAGTAAAATAATCGGTTTTGGCTACAACTTGGTAGACAAAAGCCAAATGGGGCAGCAAATAAGAAGGAAAAGAATGGTTGCTTTGGGCACACTGTCAAAGGAAAGAAATAGCAGACAGTAGCTACCAGCAGTGGAAGGAACAAAAATAAACAATATAAAACCAGAAATGAAATTTTTAAAATGGAGTAGGCTGAAGTTACTTAGTGTAGGGGCAAAGAGCCCCACCTACTTTAAGTGCCCCTGATGGTATTAATGTAGAAATGCATAATATAGTTATTAATGTTCACACCAATGACCTTTATAAAATGTTAATTTTCTGCAGAATGCTCTATATAAGAGGTTGGGCAAACAATAAATTTTAGGAAGATTCTACCAAAAAAAAAAAAAAAAAAAAAGGCCTTAAGTATAATTTTGGCACATAAAAGGGAAACATTTATTTACACAGTTTTCACTTATTTGGAAAACTCATTCCTTGTTAATGCCAAATAAGTATCTTACTGCTTTGCAAAAAAAAACAAAAAAACCTCTTAAATCCATAAACCCTTTGACCAATAAAATATAATTCCACATTCCTTTTATTACCATATGTATTACAGAAAAAGTTTATCTTTAAAGAACCAACAAAGACTACAATTAGAGTAAAATATTCTTTAGAGAAAAACTTGAAACATGAATTTCAAGTAGTCAATTGACTGTCTTTTTCTTCTCTTTGTAGAATTTTAGGAGCCTTGGTGGCGCAGTAGTTAAGTGCTAGGCTGCTAACTGAAAGGTCAGTGGTTCAAATCCACCAGCCACTGTGTGTGTGAAAGATGTGGCAGTCTGCTTCTTTAAAGATTCATAGCCTTGGAGAGTCCCAGATGGAGCAGGAGAAAGGCAGGGTGCAGAACTCAAATTCTAGTAAGAAGACCAGACTTGATGGTCTGACTGAGACTGGAGGAACCCTGGAAAGCACAGCCCCTGGATTCTCTTATCAGCCCAGAACTAAAACAATTTCCAAGGCCACTCTTCAGACAGGGACTGGACTGGACTGTGGGACATAAAGTGATACTCATGAGGAGTGTGCCTCTTAGCTCAGGTAGATACAAGAGACTAAATGGGCAGCTTCTGTCTGTAGGTGAGATGGGAAGGCAGACAGGGTTAGGAGCTGGTTGAATGGACATGGGAAATCAGAGGTAGAAAGAAGGAGTGTGCTGTCACAGTATGGGGAGAGCAATTAGAGTCACATAACAACAATGTATGTACAGATTTTTGTATGGGAAAAAATAAAAAAAAATGTATAGCCTTGGAAACTCTATGGGGCAGTTCTACTCTGTCCTATAGGGTCACTATGAGTCAGAATTGACTCAACTGCAATGGATTTTTTTTTTTCATTTTGTAGAACTTTAGTAATTTAAGACTTATGAAGATTAAATGTCAAAGATATTTACCTTAATCACTGCAATTACCAAATTAAATAAAAAAAACATTAAAAATAGGTTTTCTATTCAGAATAAAGTAAACGGAAGGAGGCCAGGTTGAAAAGTTAATGACAAGAAACTTTCATTCCAAATTAATATCCTGAACACATAGAATTAATTGCTAGAATGATCTTCTCCGTATTTACTATGCATAAAGTACTGAGCTAAGTTATATCTACTACCTTGTTTAATTTTTCCTACCAGAGAAGTAGGAATATAATCCCATTTTATAGAGGAGAAAACTAAAACTCAAGAGGTTAAGGAATTTAAGTTAAGAAGCTAATAAGCGAATTTAAATTCAGTTTTGCCTCCAAAGCCCATGTATTAATCACCATAATGCATGCTCTCCCAAACTCCATTTTGTAGTAATTATTAAGCAACCACAAGAGCATGTCCCTGGTTAGGCATTACTTCAGATCTGGTAACCCAGATATTAGAAAACATGGTCCATATTCTATTTTGATCAGTTGTGTTGATTAAGTTGTTCATGCATGATGTGTTTAAAATTGATGTCTGAAAATACCTAAAAATAAGTCTTATCAAATCCTGACTTGCATTTTTGTTTGAACATCCGTTCATCAACAGAGTTGATAATACAGATGAAATGGACAAAAAAACTCAAATAAAGTAGTCATACAAAAAATAGATTACAGATAATGATAGAAAATAGTATAAATACTTACCAGGTCTCTACAAGGGTAATAATGCTCTAAGAACATTAAGCTCAAAAGAAATGAAGAAAGTTGAAGGTCAACGGACTCAAATATATAAACATTTAAAATGTCATTAAAGTAGGAGAAATAAAACTAATGGTAACAAGAAATAGTTAATGGGAAATGTCTACAATATGAACCAC